ATATTTTCCATTCCCCCCCCCCCCCCCCCACACACACACACTCCAAGGTAGATCATCTTGTATGGGTCATCTTTCAGTGATGAAGTTCTAAAAATGGTACATGAATTAGACTTGGGAACAATGCCGTGAGCCATCTCTACTTTCTTTGCTCCAAGGATCTCTCTTTTCTCCCTGCAATAATGTATGGCCCATTGGGCAAATCCATTCCCAGAGACTGGCAGTGGGTCCTCAGCTGGGGAGATGACCAAGGGCTTAGAGCAATTCTGGAGTGGCTGCAGGAAACTTGTGGAGCTGAGTGGAGGAACGAGAAACAAATGTGGACATTGTAATCTTCACAAGTACTGTGAACTTAACTACTTGGGTTGATTTCATTATCCATGGTTAAAGAAATATGGCTAAGTGTGATGCAAGAACCAAGTCACAGGTTTTCCTCTATCACCTAGTTAAGATGATTTGACCCTCTTTGGACTTCCTTGTTGTGGCTCCAGCCTGCAGGGCACTGAAACAATTGATTAACCTGGTTAGGCAGTGAGATAGACCTGGGTCACGCCACACACTAAGCCAAAACCAAGCCTATCTGATTGCAAATTAGCAAGTTAAGTGCAGCAAGCCACTTGGTTTGTAAATCGGGAGTTATGACTAGTGTCTTTTGCAAAGCCAACTAGTTGTGATTTCTTCAATACACCATGGTGAAGCAAGCTTTGGTGGGACCTGTGAACCTAGTTTTATCACTTTGCCTGAAACAGGTGGTCTGAAGAGGACTGGACCCCTTCAGGCTGAGGGTTGATGGAGATCAGCATGTTGAGAAGCTCTCTGTGGAATCTTTTGAAAAACTAGAAAATCAGGGAAATGATTCAACCAAGGTTTTTCACTCTGATGCAACCAGTTTTCTCAGCCTGGGGAGTTTCCTGTCTTGGAATGGAGCATTTAGAAAAGTGGGGCTGGTTTTTTTCCCCCTCATTTCTTTGGGGTTTCAACCAGAAAGCCATCTCTGTCACAGCTCTTGCTTCTGTGGTGTAACATGACTCTTTCAGCAGGTAGGCGCTCTGCGAGTGCTTCTAACAACTTGTACTGAAAACTTGAGAACTTTCTTCAGCTCCTGGGTTGCCTCACCACTCTGTGCATTTAGGTTAGGATTGGCCACGATCCTGTTGGGGATTTTTCCCGTACCAGCTCCATTGAAATGACTGGGATCTATTCAGGAATCCCCCTTGTTGCATTGGGAGATTTACAGGAGAAATTTCTGCCAGTTGGGGCCTCTGAGTTCTCATACCTAATATTTTAGGTATTTGATCTGTCTCTTTTCTCCTTTTTTAATGTATGACAATGTATTTTTTATTTCTTCAGAGCATCTTTATATTATTTAATTTTATATAAAAGAGAGAAAAAATAATAGTGTGTGTTCTAGTGTAGCATTTTTACACCTATTCTCTGTTGTGTTTTCCCCCTCCTTAACACAACTACCTCATGCTTGTTTTTAAAAAAATGAAAATAAAAGCAGTAGATTTTGCTCTTTTGCCACACTTTCCTCTTTCATTCTCTCTCACACTTTAAATACTTATAGAATTCACTGACACAGATTACAATGAATGTCACCAAATTAGAGAAATTCCGGGTTCCAACTGAGTCCATTTATTTGAGAATCAAACAGAGAGACATCAAAAATGTCCTGTTTTTTTTTTTTTTTAATCATGTGAAACACAATTAGTTAATAGCAAGACATTCGCATTACAGAGAAAATGGTTCTGTGAGTTTGGGATAATTGTCTACCCTGTTTCAGCAGGGTATTCCTGGCTGTGAATCATGGTTTGCTCATCCTTCATCGGTCATGTTTGGGTCTAACACAGGCTCTTAAGAAGGATATGAAGTGGCCATTTGGCACCATGTATGTTCGTAAGAAAATGCTGTTTGTAGCTATCTGGAATTCCTCCACTTTGTCTAGTCTCCAAGGACAGAAGATTTATTAACAACTGCCCTTCTGTATCTAAACTCTGTCAGGTAAGAAAGAAGAGAGGTATATTTGTTTGTTTATTTATTGATCACATTTATATAGCCACTTATCTCACAAGAAGTGACTCTGCGGCATACAATGATCAAGTCAAAAACAACACTTATATAAAACAGGCATTAAAAATATAAAAAGTCAACGTTAAAAATGAAAAGTTATTGAAATTGAAAATATACAAAGCCCAGGCAGAGAGAGAGTGAGTATATCCACCTCAGTCATGGAGCCATCTAAACAAGTCTCCAGTTCCGTGGGACCCCCAGCCTGGTGATATAACCAGGTCTTGAGGGACTTCCAGAACATCAGCCTAATTTCGGTGGGGAAATGTTCCACAAGGTAGACGCCACAGCAGAGGAGGACACCTCTTGGGGCCCACCAAATGTAAGTCCCTGGCTGATGGTATCCGCAGCATGCCTTCTCTGCCAGATCTAATGGGGAGAGGCCCTCCCACAGATAACTCAGTCCCATGCCATGAAGGGCTTTAAAGGCTAAAACCAGCACCTTGAATTGGATCCAGAACCAAACTGGCAACCAATGCAGCTCGCGGAGTAGAGGTGTAACACGTGCTAATTGCCCGCACCACTGCATTCTGTACCAGCTGAAGCTTCCAGATATTCTACAAGGGCGGCCCCATGTAAAGTGCATTACAGTAGTCCAATCTGGAGGTGACTAGGGCATGAGTGACTGTGAGCAGAGCCCCCCAATCCAGGAACAGGTGCAACTGGTGCACAACCCAAAGTGGTGCAAAGGGCCTCTTCAGGCAGGAGTTGTGAGTCCAGGAGGACCCCCAGATCACACACTGGGTCTGTTTGGGGCAGTGCCTCAAAACCCAGAGCCACTCAGTCATGCCAGGGTTCAGCTAAAGCCTGCTGTTCCCCATCCAGACCCTCACAGCCTCCAGGCACCAGGATAAGACATTCACAGCATCACTTAACTTGCCAGGGGAGAGATGTATAATTGGGTGTCATCTGCATACTGCATACTGTCACCCCATGGTGACAGAGGAGCTCATCCAGCAGCCTCATGTAGATGTTAAAGAGGAGAGGAGAGAATACCAAACCTGCGGGACCCCACACAGTAGGGGCTGAGGGCAGGACCTCTCCTCCCCAGTTA